AAGTGTTGTTGTTTGATTACATAATCAGTGTAAATTAATATAATTTCAGGATGTCCCACTTTCGTATTGTGAAGCCACAGTGCTGGCAGAAAATGAGAGCATCTACATCAAATCTCCACAACTGCATCAGGGAGTAAAAGATACTGTGAATTCCACCATTAAGCACCTTCAAAACAGATTTGGTAGCCTTTTAGGTTATAAGATTTTCTTTATTGGACATTCTGCAGTATTAAAATTATTATCATTATTAATTTTTGTATTGTTTGTGCTGGCAGGCACAGTGAGAAGCATGCATGAAACACCTACTGCCAAGCACCTACAGCAGTGAAATGCTTCAACATCTTTAATCAGGACTCCTGGCCAACTGAGAAAGAGAAACTCTTGGACTACGGTGCAGAAGAGCTTGATTTTCTGCTAAAGCATTTCTCTCCTGTCCTAGAAAGGTAACTTCTATGGAGCTGAGCCAATCTCTTAAGAATAGCCTTGATCGGGTTGTGTTAGCCACAGTGTTAATTGTCTCTCATTTTATTTTTAGGAATGGATGTGAACAAGATCTAGCTAAAGAGGCGTTTCAGGCACTGAAATCAATGATCACAGTCTCTTTCTAAGAGCTACCTCGGACTGTGGGACAGCATGTTGTCCAAGGAACCATACTGCTGTGACTACAGTATTTACATTATTTTTTTATAATAATCACGGTTATGCTGTTACTTAAAGCATTGTTCTCACAACCATCTAATCTGTCTTCTTCTTTAGAACATCCTTCAGTTAGTTCATACTATGTTGGTGTTCCCTGTGTCCTCCGCTGTGTGTGTGAGGGGCTTTTCAGCACCGAAGCAGGTCAATTCTGATGTGAGGTCATGTCTCAACCCAGACACAGTGGAGGACCTCATCAGAATAAGTATAGAAGGCCCAGAACTAGAAGACTTCGATGCCAGGGAAATTAAGGAGTGGTTGTCAAAGGGAAAGGCCTAGTAGGCCAAATTACAAGTCTTGGCCAAATGAATTCTTCAGAGTTCAGGGAGACTTTCTGTAGTTATTATTATAGCTCATGAATGTGATGAAAGTCTGCGTTAAAGTAAAGCTGTTTACAAAAAAAAAAAAGTTGCAACGAGTTATTTAACATGAGTTTACAGACTTGCAATGAGTTTAACTGATTACAGTACGGTAAAGTTATAATGAGAGTTTGCAAAATTTTATAAGATGTTTTTTTCAACAGGGGGGTAGCGATTAAAATAGAGTAAATCACCTTTTGAAAGTAATTTGACACATCAAATGAAGATTTATCGATTGCATTGTTACACCAGTAGGTGGCAAAAAGGAGCTGTTAAAATGTATTTGTCTTTGAATCATACAAGAGATTCGTTCTCGAACGCTGATTCATCCAGTAATGAAACAAGTACATCTTGAGTGAGTCATTCAATCATTCATTCATAAATTACATGTGATTTTGTTTAGTTGTCTAATGTTTTTGTTTCTTCAGAATCATGAGAGAACCACAACTTCCACTGGGAAAAAAACCTACTTTTTTCCAGAATCATGCAGTTCTATTTTGCACACAAACAGCCCTTAAAGAGTTGTGTAGCCTGTTGATTTTTGTTCATGGTATTCAGCTCCATCTGGCATCATCTGAGGTCCTCTGAGGGGTTGGCATCATCTTTTCTCAGGTGTTCTGGATCAAGACTGAAGCTTGTGTAGAGACATAATTAGCGTATCTGCTGTTCCAACCAAGCAAAATTGATTTGTTTTACCCAAACTAAAGAATAATAATGTGCATTTGATCAGATATAACTGCAGTACTAGATTATGAAATGCATTATTTGAATGCTTGGCCAAAGAGATGTGTCTTTAATCTAGATTTAAACCGAGAGAGTGTGTCTGAACCCCAAACGTTATCAGGAAGGCTACTCCAGAGTTTGGGAGCCAAATGTGAAAAAGCTCTACCTCCTTTAATAGTGGAAACAAGCCGCAATACAATGAAATTAGCACAACACAAGGGAAACAAGCCACAACACAATGGAAACAAGTCACAACACAACAAAATTAGCACAACGCAATGAAATTAGCACAACAAACGGAAACAAGCCACAACACAACGGAAACAAGCCACAACATAACGGAAACAAGCCACAACACAATTGGAAACAAGTCAACAAGTCAATATGCTGTTAAGGGGGCCTAGAAACCATAGCAGTGACTCTGGAAGTAGGCATGGAATTTTAAATGCAGTACTTGGTTCAGGTGTGTTTGATTGGGATTGGAGCTAAACTCTGCAGGACATCGGCACTCTAGGACCGATGTTGCCTACTTTGTGACTGCTGTGTGACCCCATAGACATTTTTGCTGGGCTCCACAGCAAATGTCTATCTCAGTGTTTCCCAACCCTGTTCCTGGAGGCATGCAATAGTACATAATTTCAAACTCATCCTGATCAAACACACCTGATTCAGTGGCCTGTCGCAATATCCACACTTGTGGTCTTGGCCACTTGACAGGAAGTAAGACTGTCCTAGGCCTGAAAAATGCTGAAGAAAGCTCAGTGCCCTTAATGGCAAGTTCCCACTACAGGATTTTAAGGCCGTTTTGCAAGTTAACGAGCTCGCCGACAGGTTGGGCTGTGATCAGGGGAAAATGAGTGGGTGATCAGCGCTCGGCAGTCTTTATGTGTGAACCACTCAACAACACATCAAAGAGGCTCACTGACGCATATACACAACACTATTTTCAGCTAAAAAAATCTAAACTTTTTGTGTGTTTTGGCTGTTCATTTACACAACAGCAGCATTTTGGGGACCTGAATACACAAACTTTTGAAAATGGGTTTCAAAGTGCAAGTTTTAAGTCGTCTTTTATTTCCTGAAACATTAAAAATAACATGGAATTAAAAATAACATGGCTTAATGGATAATGTGTTCTTCTGGTATTCCAAATAAATTAATACGTGTGGAAAAAATCCCCTCCCTTCTACCACGCTCTCTCTGTTCTCTGCGGTGCCTCCTCCTATAGCAACAACAATTGCAGCCCTTTCAAGAGCAAAATAGTTAAAAACATGCTTTTTTGGGGGCATTAAATAATGGCGCAAATACCAGTAATTTGACAAGCTCAAACGTTAGTAAATCATGTTGCGGGATTCATTTGACTGTCCTCCCATAAATTTTGCGTCTGAAACTCCAACAATCAGTAAGGTCAGGTGCAAATATAATTGTGTCCACGCCTTTTCAGCTCTAATTCTTCACTGTGCGTCTTTAGTAAATCCTGACAGTACTATTTTAACACCAATAAATGGTTTGTGCCGGTGCAAGCTGTTATTAAAACTGGCCTGTAGTGTCTACTGGCATGGCATGAATAATACAGCATTTTTAGTCGTTTTCGCAGATACGTGTGAACTAGGATTGTTTTGACAATTTTGTATTGGCATTTTTCGTTATACGTTATATATATTATTTTGTTTTGTTGTGTTTGTATTTTTTGTAATATATATATATATATATATATACGTATAATTCAGGGTTCTAGAAAATCATTTTGCTGGCAGTCAGTTAAAAAATTTGAAAGCATGAAAACTGAACTGAAGCCAGCGCTCTTCTGTAAATACACAGACAGTTCTGGTTTCTGTTTGTTGCCATCGTTAATCCTATTTAATGGAAGATACTTGTAATTGCCCACTTAGGATCCTTAAAGCTGGGTTCCTGTTGGTCTTGCTTGGTTGCACCTGGCAAGCTCCCTGCGCTTTAAGAGTATGTGGGATTGGGTTTCGTGAGGAACTAATCCTTCCTGCCTGCATCTCTAACAGCCACTGACCCACAGCGAGACCCACAGTGTGCCTTTAAATACAGCCACATATTTCTCATGGCTGACCAAACACAATTCGTTGTAGGTCTCTGTGAGTGCATGCATGCAAGACAGTAGAAATCTCATATAAAGATGTAGGTAAGTTCCACTTAAATGGGTCAAAAATACTTTATAGTTCAACCAATTTTACATACATTTAAACAATAATGCATTTTCATTTAATTGTAAATAACATGCAATTAAGTGAAAACATTATTCAGTTATTCAAGTATTATTTCGATAATAAATATTTTTAAAGGTATGCTAAAGTGCACTTCTTTTTTTTTTTGAAATGTCAGGGTAATAAAATACAATGTACTGAGACCATAATAAAGAAAAAAAAGGGAAATTCTTGAAATGAAAACCCAATGAATAAGTAGTTTGGGAGAAAAAATAACAATACTGCTTAACTACCCAGTCTTCACATAACGACATAAGACGTTGATATTTGGTTAAATTTGTCAATTCTACGTTGTAACAACATTCGTAAGGGGAAGAAGGAAGTGACTCAGGTAGGCGGTTTGGAGACTCGTGGCTCTTTTATTGCTTTCTTTAAAGTTCAACAAAACACAAACGGGGTGCTTCCAGCGCGTTCTCACTCTGCCAAGGGCATCAACTCAGTTCAATCAGCTCTCCTCCTCCGACTACGGGATCGCCACGAGTCCCAGTCTCTCTCTCGCTCTGTTCTCCAGTCTGCCCTTTTATCCGGTCTCTCCAGGCTAATTACTGCAATCAGACACAGGTGTTCATCAATTTGCACTTGACCTACTTACTCACTGCTCGTCTCCCATCTCTCTCTCCCGCTGCAGACTTTGTTGAACCACGCCCCCCTCACCACATACCCCCACTGCCCGACTCAGGCCGGGGACCTCTCCCTTTTCCTCCGGCTCAGGAATGGCCATGAGTCCCCGTCTCTCTCTCCTTCCACGCTCTCCCGTCTGCCTTTTATCCGGTCTCTCCAGGCCAATTACTGCAATCAGACACAGGTGTTCATCATTTTGCACTTGACCTACTTACTCACCGCTCGTCTTCCGTCCCTCTCTCCCGCTGCAGACGTCGCTGAACCACGCCCCCCTCGCCACATACCCCCAGCGCCCGACTCAGGCTGGGCAGCTCCCCCCCCTCCATTTCTGGAGAGGAAGTCGGCTACAACCATCTGTGCACCCGGCCTGTGGACCACCTTGAACTTAAAGGGTTGTAATGCCAGATGCCAATGGTTGATCCGCGCGTTGGTATCCTTCATGCGGTGAGCCACTGCAGGGGCGCGTGGTCCGAACAGAGGGTGAACTCCCAACCCAGGAGATAATAGCGGAGGGTGAGGACAGCCCATCGGATTGCCAAGCATTCCTTCTCAATGGTGCTGTACATCGTCTCTCTCTTAGAGAGCTTTCGACTGATGTACAGCACTGGCCGTTCCTCACCCTCTATTTCCTGGGCCAGGACGGCCCCCAGCTCCCTGTCCGATGCGTCCGTCTGCAACAAGAAAGGGAGAGAAAAGTCAGGAGAGTGTAAGAGCGGCCCCCCACACAGAGCAGCCTTTACCTGGGTGAAAGCCTGCTGACACAGCTC